CGCTTGTCACACATAAAATAACGTTTTGGTCCGCTAATTATTCAGCTTGTGTGGTATATACTAAAACAATTATTCACCTCAGTGTCGGTGAAAGTGACGGGTATTTACCGAGCCGCGAAGCGGCTCGGTAAATACCCACCACTATTCACCTCCACTTCGGTGAATAATTGTTAAATGTCGAGGAAGCATGTTAACAGAACATACGTGAATGAATGAATTAAGTGAAATCTGAAATCTGAAGATCGCTTCCCCGAAGACCTAAAAAACAACAAAAAAGACGCCTCGAAACCTGTCTCCAAGCATTTCAATCTCCTCATATTGTCTATGGACCTGTGGTATTTGACTGCACCAAGACAACGCTAAAAATCGTAAAGTTCAAAACTGAAATTTACCTTTCAAGTCGGTATCTTGGCTCCCCATGGAGTCAATAACCGTTTTTCATTAACTAATTTATTCACGCATTTCTGTTACCAACAATGCTTCCTCCAATATCGTACCTCGGTGCTCCACTTTATGAACACACATCAACACAATCTCCAACTTTGCTCTGACAAAGGGCTAACGTTCGTCAGCTTCACAAAATCGTCAGGGTGGTTAATTTACTCGCAAGATAGCTGGTATAAGTAACTTGGGGTGTTGGGGAGGTTTTCGAAGTAACATTTTTATTGTTCAGTTCAACTCTTTGAATTTGCCATCTACAGTGGTACCCCGTTAATCCGGTCACCAACGGGCCACAAAAATTTGGCCGTGTTCACGGAGTGGCCGTATTAAAGGGTTCGTTAAATAAGAAAATGACAGACTAAGCTTTTGTTCGGAACAGAATAAAGTGGCCGCAATAACGAGGTGGCCGTAAGGCGGGGCTTCCACTGTACTTCAACCTGTTTATTCGGTCGTAATGGTAGAACCTCGCCTCTTTAATACCTCTTTGTCAGCTTAAGTTCGCTAACTTTCAAAATGGAGATACAAGCGATTGGGACTAATTTGTTTCGACGAGGGAAAGCTATAAAATTAGACTTACCGTTAAAATAACGACGAATCCCGCAGGTGAAATGAGAAGGAAAGACGAGAAGCATAGGTCGGTTATCTGAAAAGTCAAGATCATGAGTTGTAATTCCGAGAATCTATCGCGCTTGTAACTGGACAATGTCATAGAAATGAAAAGTATTTGACACAGCCTGCGTTGTGTCTCTATTTGAACTGTGTGGGGGTACTTTTTCAGCATAGCATCTATAACTGAGACATGTACAAAACACTATTTTTAAAGACTACTTAAGAACCGCTATAAAGTTTCAGATCATGCACTTGGAATCACTTTAACATCTAACGTGATATTAATTTCAAGGCAACCATCTATGATGTACGGTCCAGTAGACTAAGTGGAAATGTGAACAAATCATAGTGGAAGTGCAAAAAGGTTTCCATTATGCAGGCGGAACGCAAGAGAAACGTTTTATTATCCACATGAAGCAACATATCAGCTACAACCACAATCTCACCAGTATAAAATTTAGAGGAAAATGCCTTCAAAACGCCATCGGTAAAACTTTTTTAGGTTGTCATACTGGTTTTCACAATTTTCAGATGATTAAACTAAAAAATCACTTGCTACACACCTTTCCATAAACGCTTTTGTGATTTATACATTTCAGCTCGTTTGAATAGAACTTTATATTGTCCCACAAACTCCTCACAGCCTGCAAAATTAATTAACAGAACAATCCATGAAGGGTCAATTAAGACATGTTTGCGACATACCCACGATGCAAATAGTTTAGTTGAAGTCGTAAGGTTGCTGGTAAACGACAAGGCAAAGTGGCGTAAACTGAAAAAGTCGTGTCGTATGTAACATGCTCCTATCGTATTGTTTAAATTGCCTTTTTAGGAAATTACCAAATGAGGCGAGCAATTTTATGGCACATCCAATTTTTAATTCAATTTTAAATTTCACATGACTGATTAACCCATTCAACAGCAATGTGACTTGAATGAAGTTTTCGTTCTTACCGAAAAGGAATGCCTGCCACTATTTCATTCAATATTCAAAACTAATGTTTTTGTAGCTCCATCAGAAACTGTATCGCTTATGCTAATGAGGCAAATATACTGTAAACAAAGATTCTCCAATTCCTATCCATGAAAATGAAGACAGCTTTACAGAATCTGAACTGTAAACGAAAAACAAGACTAACCTGAGGTAGCGGGTATTTGAAAACATTTTCAGAAAGTGTCTTCAAAAAAGTTAGTTGATTTTCATTGCCTGCAGTCAAAACAAACAAAGCAAGGTTAGAAACGTTCTATCTATGTAACAACTGCAGGACAATAGTTTCCCATATCGTCCCGAGTGTAGTGCAGGTGTAGGAACTATTAAAATCTGTGGTGTATATAGTGTAACTAGACTTAGTTTATGTATTTAAAAAATAAGTATAATCGGCAAGCAGTTATTCAAAGAGATGGAATCTTGAAGCAGACTTACAAGAGTTTTCTTTATCGCAAAGTCTAATTAATTGTAAGTTGTGTGTCTATTAGCACTGTTGGACTGGATGACACAGGTGCTATCTTGCGCCCTTGTTGTTCTTTTAGCAGGCACATTCATGCACACCTGATCTGGGAATCTATATCATTAGTCTGCTGTTTATACATATATGGAATATCTCTAGTCTAAAGAGGGTCATTCTAGTTCTCATAGAAGGTTGGTCATTACTCCCTTTCCTTGCTCACAACTGTTTTTTGACAAATCGAGCAGCACGTCGTTGCACGGCCCCAAGCACTTGGCCATCTAAAAGTTATTTCAGTGCAGAATCTCAGCTTCATTACACTGTATTTTCGTCAACTGAAAACACCGCTTTGAAGTTTCGAGTTATTTTAGTACCTTTATAAAAATCTGATTGGCTAAAAGTAATCAAACACAAATTTGGCGCACCCAGGGTTGAAGAACAACATCTGGGAGCCGAATGATCAACCTAACAATTACACGGAACGTTTACAAGATGGAACTCCCTCGAGTATTATACTGCTAACTTACCTGAGTAATTTGTCACAACAAGACTTAGAAAAACAATCGCCATAACACTTAGAATGATTCTCGAAATCATCTTTGCGGTATTAGCTGACCGTCTCTTATTTTCTTGCTGTAGAATGTCTGGCGCGCGCAAAGTTCATTGTTACGTGGCCATGATGGTGACTCCTGACGTGACATGATAACTGCATTGCCGATTTTAAATGTTATCTGGTTGTAGCTATTAAGATAGTTTTTAATTTGATTTTGAATGGATAGATCATAAATGATGGAAGTAGTCACTGAGAAAACAGTTTATCGCTAAAGCGTAACTGCTGACACGGACCATAGCCGAACATCAAATAGCAAAGATCTCCGCGCGCGTGAATACGTGATCTTTTTTTACAGCGGTCAGTCCATCCGAATAGCAAAACCTAGATCCCGCAAAAGACTAATCCACAAAATTAAACTCCTGCCAAAATTTAGAAAAAAATATTAGAATAATTTTTAACGTCCTTGTTACAAAATTGTCCATAATTTTAAAATCCCACGGCAGTTTTACCTTACTTAATCAAATATACCTAATATCTCTAAAGTATTTTTTATTGTCTATGCAAGTCGCTGCACAAAATGCTGGTTAGTGATAAGCTAAAGGCCTTTTTTCACTAGTCGGTGTCATAATCAGAAGCGTAGAGTGATACGATCTAGTGAAAATCAAAACGACAGAGACGGAAGCAGAACACCAATTCGGCTTATGACTCCGTCGCTTACGAACCAGTGAAAACTAGACTGTCGGAGTCAGAAGTAGAAGTGGAAGAATAAACCAAACACACTGCTCGATTCCAGGCCTTGTGATTGGTTGGCTCTTCCACTTCTGCTTCCGACTCTGACGGGCTTTAGCAAACCACCGAACGGCGACGCCAACGAGAAAGTCGTCAAACAAAAGGTTTAATAAGCAGAAATATGCTTCTGCATATGCGTTTTGAATCTGTCACTGCATATTTAGTCTGAGCAAGTTTTGAGACTGATAGGCGCACTGAGCAGATCTACAGAGTTGCGACATTCGAAGGTAAAATAGAAAACATTATTTTTACAAGGCGTCGTCCTCGGCGTCGTCCTCAGCGTCGCCGTCGTTATTGCTAAAATTCCCCACTTAAGGCTGGTTTTCACTAGCGACGGAGTCCCAGTCGAAGTCGTAAGAGAGCTTACGACCCAGTGAAAATCGGAAATCGGAGTCGTAAGCGAAGTGATAAGCTCGACAGAATCGAAGTCGGAAGAATAAAACGAAGAATAAAACGTGTCCATTTCTTCCGATTCCATTTACGACTCCGTCGCAACTCCATCGCTTGTAATCCACAGAAAACGAGATTGTCGGAGTCAGA